GATATCCCGAGAGTTTTAGGAGGAATGGGAATTGTCATTTTATCCACTTCTCAAGGTATTTTGATTGATCGAGAGGCACGTGAAAAACAAATCGGGGGAGAAATATTGTGCTATGTTTGGTAATCCTTATGCCATTTACATACTCAGTTTTTTCAACTCATAAGAGTAGTTATTAGAAGTTTAAGAAAACTCATAATAAGTTAATCTTATGAGCTCGGTTTTATACAAACATAGCCAGTTATAAATAGAGGAAATCCATGAGGAAGCAGAATTTAATCGAAATGGAAGGAGTAGTTACAGAGTCTCTTCCAAATGCTATGTTTCGAGTCTGCTTAGATAATGGTTGCCAAGTACTGGCTCATATTTCGGGCAAGATTCGTAAAAATTATATACGCATCTTATTGGGAGATAGGGTTAAAGTTGAATTAAGCCCATATGACTTGACCAAAGGACGTATTACCTATAGGCTTCGTACAAGATCTCCTAATGGATAACTTTGCTAAAAATCATATTTTTTATGTATTATTCTTTTTAGAATTTATAAAAATCTTAGTTGAAGTTGATTCAATCAAAATTAGTACATAACTCGAATACTAAAAAGTATAGAGAATCCTGAATTACTTCATATTAAGGTATATATTTGATATTCATATTCTTCTTATAATAGAAAAAAATAGAAAATTTTGTGGAGATTATAAAAATATGAAAGTACGAGCTTCAGTTCGCAAGATTTGTGAAAATTGTCGTTTGATTCGTAGACGAGGTAGAGTTATGGTGGTTTGTTCAAATCCTAAACACAAACAACGTCAAGGATAATATATTCATGATTCCATTTTCTATTTTCTCGTATCCTAATTTCTTTAGTATTCGATCATCTTGTTTTTGAAAGTTGCAGATCATTGTGTATATATTCTGAACAATTATTTCTTAGGAAGAATTTCTATAGTTATCTACAAATAGAAATTATCTAAACTTCTTTTATGAATCATGAATTAATAAAAATTGATTATCAAGTACAATTAAATATTATGGCAAAACCTTCTAAAAAAATTAGTCTTCGTAAAGGGAAAAAACGAGCTCCTAAAGGAGTTATCCATGTTCAAGCAAGCTTTAATAATACAATTGTCACTGTAACTGATATTAGAGGACAAACAATGTCTTGGTCTTCTGCTGGATCTTGTGGATTTAAAGGGGCTAAGAAGAGTACACCTTTTGCAGCCCAGACTGCTGCTGAAAATGCTATTTCTTTATTAATTGATCAAGGTATGAGACAAGCTGAAGTTATGATTAGTGGTCCTGGACCAGGACGAGATACAGCCTTAAGAGCTATCCGTAACAGTGGTATTGCATTAAGTTTTGTTCGAGACGTAACCCCTATGCCACATAATGGTTGTAGACCTTCTAGTCAACGTCGCGTATAAAACATATATCTATTATATAAACAGAGAAACGAGAATATGGAAAAAAATAGTAGCACCATACGTATTTGTCCGGAATGGAAATGTGTAGATGATGAACAAGGAAAAAATCGCCGTTTACATTATAGCCGTTTTGCTTTATCTCCATTATTAGTTGATCAAGCTATGACTATAGGAGTAGCTATGCGGCGAGCCTTGTTATCAGAAGTTGAAGGACTTGGTATTACATCAGCCAAAATTGTAGGAACTGTGCATGAATATTCTACTTTAGAAGGAGTGCGTGAATCTATCGATGAGATTCTAATGAATCTTAAACAAATAGTTTTAAAAGGTCGAGTAACAAACAAGCAAAGTGCTTCTTTATTTGCACAAGGTCCAGGTGTAGTAACTGCTGGACATATTAATTTACCATCTTGTATCAGTGTTGTAGATCCTGATCAGTACATAGCTACCTTAAGTAAACATACTCAATTGTGTATTGAATTACTGATTAGCGAAGGCAAAGGGAATTACATAAATGATAATGTCAAGCCAGAAGAAGGTTTTTTTCGTATCGATGCTAGATTTACTCCAGTTCAAAAAGCAAATTTCAGTATTTATTCTTTAGGAGAAGCAAAAGAAAGACAGCAGTTATTATTATTAGAAATATGGACTAATAGAAGCTTAACTCCAGAAGAAGCATTATATCAAGCTCATAATAGTATACTTAATTTATTTTATACCATTACACCGCCCATTCCATCTAAAAACGTATTGAAAACTAATAATTCGAATTCTATAGATCATAATGTAGTATATAAAAATATTCATACTTCCGATCAATCAGGTCATGTATTAAATACTACTATTGACACAGTATTATCACTGGATAGACCTATGGAAGATATCATGAATACAACTAATATATCTATTGATCAATTAGAATTATCTCCTAGAATATATAATTGTTTAAAAAGAGCTAATATACACACATTATCAGATTTAGTATCTTATACTCAAGAAGATCTTCTTAAGATTAAAAATTTTGGCAGAAAATCAGTTGAACAAGTTGTTATGGTTTTGCAAGAACGTTTCGGATTACAACTTTCTTGCAAAAAATAAAAAAGACAACCATTTGTTGTAGCTGAAATATATTTCAGCTACAACAAATGGTTGTCTTTTTCTTTTTTGTGTAGTCTAATTTACAAACTGAGGTGTTGATCACCAGTCTGTAAAAAAAATCAAAAAAAAATCCTTAGAAAAGTCCTAAGGTTAGAGATTGATCAATAGGTAAAGCTGCTCCAATACCTAACCAAACAGCTACAACAGTTCCAATAAGAAATACAGTGCTAGCTACTGGACGACGGAATGGATTTTGAAATTTATTTACATTTTCTAAGAAAGGAACAGTTAAAAGGCCTGCAGGCACAGCAGCCATTAACAAAACTCCTAATAATTTATTAGGAACTGTACGTAGGATTTGGAATACAGGGAAAAAATACCATTCAGGTAAAATTTCTAGAGGAGTAGCAAAAGGATTAGCAGGTTCTCCCATCATAGAAGGTTCTAAAACTGCTAGTCCAACATTGCAAGCAATTGTTCCAAGAATACATACTGGGAACATATATAATAAATCATTAGGCCAAGCTGGTTCTCCATAGTAGTGATGTCCCATACCTTTCGCTAGTTTTGCTCGTAGTACAGGATCAGTCAAATCAGGTTTCTTGATGACTCCCATAATCTAAACTCCTTTTTATGTAAAAAAACTGTGTCGATACTATAAACAAGTAAACTGTTCAGAACGATACAGCAAACTAATCCATGATATAGGTATATTAAATACTTGCTTCATGGCAATGCGCCCCTCGAATGTAATGTCTAGAAAAAATATCAGAATCTTTTCTTAATACATTATATATGGCAACTCCATATACTTGTTTATAGTGGACCAGAAATACCTTGTTTCCTAATCATCAGGAAATGCATTAACATAACGACAGCTGTTAGAAGTGGTAATACAAATGTATGCAAGCTGTAAAAACGAGTTAATGTAGATTGTCCTACGCTTACACTTCCACGCAGTAATTCAACTAAAGGTGCTCCAATTACCGGAATAGCGTCAGGTACTCCTGTAACGATCTTTACAGCCCAATACCCAACTTGATCCCAAGGTAAAGAGTAACCAGTTACACCAAAAGAAACAGTTAATACTGCTAAAAGAACTCCTGTAACCCAAGTAAGTTCACGAGGTTTTTTGAAGCCTCCAGTTAAATACACACGGAATATGTGTAAAATCATAGTCATTACCATCATACTAGCAGACCATCTGTGTACTGATCGAACTAACCAACCAAAGTTAACTTCGGTCATAATGTATTGAACAGAAGCAAAAGCCTCGGTTACAGTAGGACGATAGTAAAAGGTCATAGCAAAGCCTGTCGCTACTTGAATGATAAAACAGGTAAAAGTAATTCCTCCTAAGCAATAGAAAATATTGACATGAGGTGGAACATATTTGTCGGTAACGTCATCAGCAATTGCCTGAATTTCCAAACGTTCTTCAAACCAATCGTATACCTTACCCATAATGCAGACATTCTCCATTTACATAATTACGCAGTTGAACTTCCATAAGAAAAAGAGAAAAGTCTTTTTTCTCCCTATGTACTAATTAGTATCATTTGGGAATATTGTCGTGTTTCTACTTTAATTAATATGAATAAGAAGACCAGGAAAAATTCTTGAGTAATTATACCCCCTTCATTTTCCTAGTCTTCTCGTCAGAAAAGAATTCCCTTAAACTGTAATGAGAATTATCAGTTTGTGAGAAATTGAAGCATTACCGTACTTATTGCCAACTTACTGGGATACCATCTAAAACTACAGAAGCATTGTATAATTCTAGAATTATAACCAAAAATACAGCAAATAATCCGATAAATACACCCATAAGTACAGTAGTGCCCCATCCTGGAGCTACTTTACCATATTCGGAATTAAGTGGCTTTAATATGTCACCAACAGCGGTTCTTCTGCCCTTGGTAGAATCTTTAATGATCTGTGTTGCCATAAATCTTATTACTCATTGGTTGAGATTTGTTGACTTTGTGTACTATCATAGTGGAAACCAAACATTCTCATTCTTGAGGAATTACCTGAAAATGGAAACAGCAACCTTGGTAGTTATCTTTATATCTTGTCTGCTTGTAAGTTTTACTGGTTATGCCCTGTATACAGCTTTTGGACAGCCTTCAAAAGAACTTCGCGATCCATTTGAGGAACACGAAGATTAATTTTCTAGGCCTTTCCCAAACTTCACAGGAATACGGGGAGGGCCACCCTATAATTCATATTGAAAAGAATAAGATGATCCTTGTATTACTATACAAATAGATAAATAGGATACAAAAAAAATTACAAGGTTAAGTCTAATATAGGCCTATTTCTTCCCTTTTACAGGCACCTTTGGTGGCTCTCTGAAGAAGATTGCAAAGAAGATAATGCCTAGAGTACTGACCAACAGAAAAGTGTAAACCAGGGCTTCCATAAATATGATTTGTAGTAAAATGTGTGAAAATAGCTTTCGTACTAATCGATTTTTTGAATCTTTTTATAGATTCATTGATACATACTAAGATACATAAATAGAACTGAGTACAGATATTTATATCTATACAGCTTGTCTCTTGGTGCTTGGGTCTCCAAGTTTTTGGAAAAGACCGAATTCTACTTGTGCTTCAAGATCAGGATCAATTCCAGAGAATACGTCTCTAAATAGAGTTCTAGCACCATGCCAGATATGGCCAAAGTAGAATAAGAATGCTAAATTAGCATGTCCAAATGTGAACCATCCTCTTGGGCTACTACGGAATACCCCATCAGATTTAAGAGTAGCACGGTCAAATTCAATAATTTCACCTAATTGTGCACGTCTTGCATATTTTTTCACAGTAGTAGGATCACTAAAACTTACACCGTCTAGTTCTCCACCGTAAAATTGTACAGTTACACCTACTTGTTCAATACTATATTTAGATTCTGCTCTACGGAAAGGAACGTCTGCACGAACTACTCCGTCTTTATCTAGTAAAACAACAGGGAAGGTTTCAAAGAAAGTTGGCATACGACGAACAAATAGTTCATTACCTTCTTTATCTGTAAATACAGCATGACCTAACCAGCCTACTGCAATACCGTCTCCATTATCCATAGCACCTGCACGGAATAGTCCTCCTTTAGCAGGGTTATTTCCAATGTAATCGTAGAATGCTAGTTTCTCAGGAATCTTAGACCAAGCTTCAGATAGACTTAACCCTTCAGCTTGACTAGCACGAACACGTCTTTCAATTTCTTCTTGGAAATAGTTTTGATCCCATTGATAACGAGTAGGCCCAAATAGTTCGATAGGAGTTGCTGCACTACCATACCACATAGTTCCAGCTACTACAAAAGCTGACCAAAAAACTGCTGCAATACTGCTAGATAGTACGGTTTCAATGTTCCCCATACGCAATCCTTTATAAAGACGCTGAGGAGGACGAACACTTAGGTGGAATAATCCTGCTAGAATTCCTAAAATACCTGCTGCAATATGGTGTGACGCAATACCACCTGGGTTAAAAGGATCGAATCCTTCTGCACCCCAAGCTGGAGCTACAGGTTGTACACTTCCACTAATTCCATATGGATCAGAAACCCAGATGCCAGGACCAAATAAACCAGTTACGTGAAACGCACCAAAAGCAAAGCAAAGTACTCCAGATAAGAAAAGGTGAATTCCAAAGATTTTAGGTAAATCTAAGGAAGGTTTGCCAGTTCTCTCATCACGGAATAGTTCAAGATCCCAGTAAACCCAGTGCCAAATTGCTGCTAGGAATAATAGTCCAGAAAGAACAATATGAACAGCTGCTACACCTTCGTAACTCCATAGACCAGCATCATTAACGGTTTCTCCAGTGATACTCCAGCCACCCCATGATTTAGTAACTCCCAATCGAGTGATGAAAGGAATTACAAACATGCCTTGTCTCCACATTGGATCAAGAACAGGATCAGAAGGGTCAAAAACTGCTAGTTCATACAAAGCCATAGAACCAGCCCATCCAGAAACTAGAGCAGTGTGCATGATATGCACAGCAATCAAACGACCGGGATCATTTAAAACAACTGTATGTACACGATACCAAGGCAAACCCATGGGTAACACCTCTTTCTCAGAGAGAATTAGACATTCTGTGACTCTCTTGCACTAAGATGACCTATTGCGTTTGCTATTTATTTTCAACATCCCAGGCACTATTTCCCTATAGTGATCTTTTTCTAAACGCAATTTTTTTATGGTCTCTTGTTGTTGATATAACCGTATTTATTGTAACATTTTTTGTTTATCATCACAACATAGAAAATGGTTTGAATTCAAAAATTTCTAGTGTAAAATACAACAAAGAAGAGGAAAAGAAATCCATTTCGTACTCTAATTTATTTAAGTACATAAACTGCTTAAAAAAATTTTACAAAAAAATATTCTATATTTTTACAAAAAAATACTGTATAGTAGACAAACATACTATAGAAAGTAGACAAAAAGCTTTTGTTCAAATGTTTGTGGAATTTTTGAAAAAAAAATTTTTGTTTTTTTCTAAATGAAAAAACATTTCTATATCTTACACAAAAAACATATTGCAATATGTAACATCTAATTAACGACACTATAGTACTATAGTGTATATAGGGGAGTATATACAATTTAATTACTAAATTAACATTATGCCTATTGGTGTTCCAAGGGTCCCTTTTCGTCTTCCTGGAGAAGAAGAGGCAGTTTGGGTAGACGTGTATAATCGATTGTATCGTGAAAGATTACTTTTTTTAGGTCAGAATGTAGATGATGAGATTGCTAATCAATTGATTGGTATTATGATGTATTTGAATGGAGAAGATGAAAGTAAGGATATGTTTATGTACATCAATTCTCCTGGTGGAGCAGTCTTGGCTGGAATTGCAGTATATGATGCTATGCAATTTGTAGTACCAGATGTGCATACTATCTGTATGGGCCTAGCAGCTTCTATGGGTTCTTTTATCTTAACTGGAGGAGAAATTACTAAACGTCTAGCCCTACCTCATGCTAGAGTAATGATTCACCAACCAGCTAGTTCTTATTATGATGGGCAAGCAGGTGAATGCATGATGGAAGCTGAAGAAGTTTTGAAATTACGAGATTCTATTACAAGAGTCTATGTTCAGCGTACTGGGAAGCCAGCATGGGTAATTTCTGAAGATATGGAAAGAGATGTTTTTATGTCTGCAAAAGAAGCCCAAGCATATGGAATTGTAGATTTAGTAGCAGCAGATAATGATTCTACTCCAGATGTTTTATAATAATGATAGAAAATCTCTATAGTTCTCTTATAGTTACCTTAGATTTTTCAGTAGCTAATCTTTCTTAACATCATTTTTCTCTTTTTGGTTCAAAACAGAATGTGGTTAAGATTCATCTCAACTGAACATTTCTGTTCAAACAATTTATGCCTACCATTCAACAACTTATTAGACATAGCAGACAACCTGCAGAAAATAGAACCAAGTCTCCAGCCCTTCGAGCTTGTCCTCAAAGAAGAGGAGTATGTACTAGAGTGTATGTGTGATTTGTTCAGATCTAAACTAGTAAAAACCTAGAATCGATATGACAGAAGAATCTAGGAATTTTTAGAGTATGGATCTGCCACTTATTTTTTTTATAGGTGGAATTCATAAATTTCCTTGGTGTAAATCCAATCATCTTAGTGCAAGATAGAATGCACTTTCTCCACGGTAGTGACTGGTCATCAATCCGTGAAGCGAGAAAGACGAACAAATATAGTATTAATAGACAATATGTGTTGTTCATTGCAATAACGGATTCATAAGGTTAGCTGCTCAGCGAACTCTCGTAATAAAACACTGTTCATATTTTCTAAGTATCTATGTCAGAAATAAGGTACTTAGCATACAACATAAGAAAGCGAAAGATTGAATCTTGTACAGGTTTTCAATTGCACTCTTATTTAATTCCTATCAGGAACAAAATTAGCTTCAGTGTAAAGAGAGAATCTTACCGTCATAAGAAAATTTATGGAAACAAAGTAATGTATAAATGCTCTCAGCACAAGGCATTCCCCCTTGTTTTCTGAGGAGTTACCTGAACTAAGGCCTTTATACAAAGGAAGGTTACAGAAGCAAATGCCATTATGATCCTTTCCCCTACATTAGACCTATATTTTTAGATAACATAATTTCTCATAAAGAGATATTGTATCCTGTACGAGGATATGGAAAATTTTCTTAGTAGTATAATATTATGTTATAAATATTTTTATTATATAAAAAACTTAGAATGACAAGAGTTAAACGTGGATACGTAGCTAGAAAACGCCGTAATCGTATTCTTGAATGTGCCTCAGGATTTCGTCGTGCGCATTCAAGGTTATTTAGACCTGCAAAACAACAGGTTATGAAAGCATTGGTTTCATCTAAGAGAGATAGAAGTAGAAGGAAAAGAGATTTTAGAAAATTATGGATTACTCGTATTAATGCTGCAGTACGTCAAAAAGGGCTTTCTTATAGTCGATTTATTAACAAACTCTATACATCTAAAATTTCCATTAATCGTAAGATGATTGCACAAATAGCAGTTTTAGATAAAGATGGTTTTAACGGGTTATTGAATAGTGTTTAGCAAAATTATTTCTATATATTTTTTTTGCATATGACCAAGGAATGATTATCAGAATGCAAAAAGCTCTTGCTAGGTCTTAAAATCTAACAAGAGCTATTAGAAATCTTTTTATCAGGAAAATTCATTGCATATTGCTTATTGCTTATTGCTTATTCCTTATTCCTTATTCCTTATTCCTTATTGCTTATTGCTTATTGCTTATTCCTTATTCTTATTCTTATTCCTTATTGCTTATTCTTATTCTTATTCCTTATTGCTTATTCCTTATTCCTTATTCCTTATTCCTTATTCCTTATTCCTTATTCCTTATTCCTTATTCCTTATTCCTTATTCCTTATTCCTAAGCCTACCGAAAAAAATGATTTATTTGATAAATGCAATAAGGGGTCATCCATTTCTTGGAACCCCTAAATAATATGAGTGGGCAAAAAGATATTTTCAATGGATGAAATTTAAAAAAAAATTCAAGTTACTATCTCTTTGCCTGTTTTTTTAAGAAGAAGTATATAAATTGACTACTTTTTTTCACAATTTACACAACGATTAACTTTCATTATTTAAAAAAGGTAATAACGCTAATATACGAGCTGCTTTAATAGCTCTTGTCATAGCACGTTGTTGTTTTGATGTTAATCGATTAACACGTCTAGATAAAATTTTTCCTTGTTCACTAATAAACTTACGCAATAAACCAACATTTTTGTAATCAATGCTTTCTCCTGGTTTTATAGGTGTTTTTTTACGGCGTCTAGACGATCTTTTTGGTCTACTAACGAATTTTTTCATAGTGATCTCCCATTTCATTTATCTTCTATTATTTTTTAATTTCTTTGTGAATTGTATGTGTGTTACAATGAGGACAGAATTTTTTTAACTCCAATCTATTCGGAGTATTACGACGATTTTTTTTTGTGGTATATCTTGAAACACCAGGAAAACGTTTATTTCTATTTTGTGGACAAACTGTACATTCTAAAGTAACAGTAATTCTTACGTCTTTACTTTTGGCCATAATTTGATTACCTCAGGTATCATAAAGGTATAGAATATGTAGATTATAACTTTACAGTTATAATGTTATGATGAATAAAAGGAATTATGGAAGAAATTTGTTTAACAAAATCTTGAAAATGAAAAGTCTTTTCTTTCTTAATACAATACATTAAATATTTAATATATTATCGAGTCATAATAACATCTTCAATAAAATATTGAAGAGAATATATAGATATAACTGGGAATACATATATTAAATTGATTAGGAAATACCAAAAAATCCTAATTAGAAAGATAGATATCATTAAATAAAGTATATTTTCTCTATTTTTCCGACTCCTCTAATGGAGTCGGTTGAACACTGATCTTGATTAAGTATATTGCTTAAACAAGCTTTGAAGTTGGCGGATTCCTCCTGTCAAATTCTTTATGAATTCATAGATAGCTTTGGAAGATTGATGCATTAGACAAATAGTAAAATGACTAATAAATAGTATGTAATAAACATCAATATCACTCGTAGAATATCATGAAATTTTATGAAATAACATGATTTCCCCAGATATATAGTCCTCTGTAATAAATCATAATGAATTTTCAAAATGTTTACTTATTGGATATCTAGGTTCAATGAATCGAAGATAAAGATCTTCTTTAAACTAATTTGTTGATGCAACAAAAAAAATCTTCTTTTGCAATTTATAAGATAACTATATTGTTAGTATTCTTATACAAATGGAAGTACCAATGCATCTGGGAAAAAACGATTAATCTCTATTAATAAGCCAGCTGATATTCCAAACCATAATGTAGCCAATACAGGGGCTGTAGACAGGTAGGTTTTGAAATCTTGCATAACAGAATCTCCTATTTCTTAATATATGCATCTTTTGCTTAAATAAGCCTATTAGTTATATTTTATGCTATCTTCATGTTATAACTACATAACAAGTATACACTAACTAAAGGTCATATTTCCTCACAAGCATAGAGTACATCCAAGTAATTTCATACCATATCTAAAAAAATGAAAAATTACCTTTGTATATCTTGTGATTGGCACTTTCCCATTTTCTTTAGTATAAATTACTCATAACACCATATTAATCTTACTTAATTATATGTATGAAAGAGAAGTCATGTATACATTTTTTCATCAAAAGAGAATTCTAAGAAATAATGGAAGGAATGATGAAAAAATGATTTATGATTCATTTTTTTTCTAAATTTTCTATACTTCAAATATATTCATCTTTTTTTCTAACAATCTTAATTTAGTATAAAAAGGATCGATACTAGAATCGTTCATTCTAAAAGATTTCATCAATTGAGAGAAAGTATATATTTTCTTCAAGAAATATGTTTCTTGTGATTTCTGAAACAACATGAAATATACTAGCTAATTTTTAGTGATATAACATATAATTTATCTTGTAAACAGGGGATGTAGCGCAGCTTGGTAGCGCATTTGTTTTGGGTACAAAATGCCGCAGGTTCGAATCCTGTCATCCCCACCTTCATTGCTGGTTAGAATTATTTTAAGGTTTATTTGCAGATGAAATTGAGTCTTTTCGTAAAGTTCAAAAAGAGGATATTTTTCTTTCTTACATTATTTTTGTGAATACTCAAATCATG